CACACACATATACAAACACACACTAACTTACACACCCACACACACAGACACACACACATTAACTTACACACACACCTACACACACACACGCATATTTAGAGACACACACACAGACAGACACACACAAACACGCAGACACACACACACACAAACAAACACACACACACACACACACACATAGACACACACACAGACAGACACACACAGACACGCAGACACACACACACACAAACACACACACACACACATACTTACAGACACACACACAGACAGACACACACAGACACGCAGACACACACAAACACACACATACACACATACTTACAGACACACACGCAGACACACACACAAACACACACACACATACACACCTATAACATACACAGATAGTAGGAAGGTATTTGTCAGATACTGAACAAGAAAGAAATTAAATAGAAAGATTTACAAAAACAACAACAAGCATATAGAACAAGAGAGTAACAAACACAAAAAAGGAGGGGAGATAAAGACGATAGATGTTTGATAGGAAAGAAGAAGTAAACCACACCAGAGCACCCGCCAACCACCCACTTGGTTTAGTTTTAGTAAGAGTTTTACAGCACTTGCAACAAAAGGTAAGATAAGTGGCGAAGACTAGGTGTTACAAGAGAGTAACAAACACAAAAGAGGAGAGATCAGGACGAGAGATGTTTGATAGGAAAGAAGGAGTAAACCACACCAGAGCATCCGCCAACCACCCACCACTGGTCACGATGTGTACGTTGGCTTGTACGCTAGATAAACACGCCATTTTACACACTGTCAGACTGTCAGACTGTCAGACTGTCATACTGTCATACTGTCACACTGTCACACTGTCATACTGTCATACTGTCACACTGTCAGACTGTCACACTGTCACACTGTCACACTGTCACACTGTCAGACTGTCACACTGTCAGACTGTCGAACAGTCACACTGTCACACTGTCAGACTGTCACACTGTCACACTGTCATACTGTCAGACTGTCAGACTGTCACACTGTCACACTGGCATACTGTCATACTGTCACACTGTCACACTGTCATACTGTCACACTGTCATACTGTCAGACTGTCACACTGTCAGACTGTCATACTGTCACACTGTCACACTGTCATACTGTCATACTGTCACACTGTCAGACTGTCAGACTGTCACACTGTCACACTGTCACACTGTCAGATTGTCACACTGTCAGACTGTCGAACAGTCACACTGTCACACTGTCACACTGTCACACTGTCATACTGTCAGACTGTCAGACTGTCACACTGTCACACTGGCATACTGTCATACTGTCACACTGTCACACTGTCATACTGTCACACTGTCATACTGTCAGACTGTCACACTGTCAGACTGTCATACTGTCACACTGTCACACTGTCATACTGTCATACTGTCA